GCGGCCCTGCCCCCGGCGCTCTGGCCGCTGGGGGGGAGACCGGAGCCGCCGCCGGGGCTCGCCGCCCCCCCCGGCAAAAAAGCCAGAGCCGGCCCTGCCAGGCAGACTAAGTGTGTCACCCCTGTGAAGCACAATCCCCCTCTTCTACACTCCTGAGGGTTTGCTCCTGACCTCCACTTTCCTGTAAGGTGACTGTAGCAGCAGGCTGAGAAAAGGGAAGCACAGTAAGATGGGCAACCACTTGTTTGTGTGTGTCCCCGAAGTTAAAATAATGACTCTGTGCCATCAGGATGCTGGATCGTGGATGTTTGGAGCACCTCCTGGTGTGTCCATGTGGGATAATCTGTCCTTGTGCCATGCTGCGTCATGAGCCTCTGTCACAGCAGTATTTGTGCAGATGCATCATTGTGACATAGTAAGGCCCGTAGTAAATTCATACTCTGTCATTGTCCTCTAAGAGCAGCTTTCAAGCTGCAGGCAGACCCATCACAATGGACTAGGCTCTGAATTTCAGAGTAGAGGGGGCAACCCTAAGGCTCCTGGGAATAAAAAAATCCCTCCCATTAGAGAACATTAGACATGGATGAACTCCATAGTGGTGTGCACTAGAGCTTCAAAGGCAAACACCAGCCAAGTACCCAGTGGCACTCCCCATCTGCTACCGTATAACATGCCAATTACTTACGATAACTTCGCTTTTCAGGTCTTCAAGACAGCTCTGGATACAACAATTCCTACGGTGGCGCTGATAGGACAGAAGAGTGCTCGATCTAAATACGGCTTCAAGCACATGGCTTACCTACCTACCACTACTGACATGCAGCTTAGGAGATACTGTCCTGCTAGATGATGCATTGATTAATAGGTGACACAGGAAACTTGCACACGGGTTCTTAAATACATGCCATGCTGCTCCAGTGAATGTGCTGCCACTTGGCTTATTTTCAGCAAGGGGAGAAGAGTCAGTAATGGGGGGAGGCTGTTTTGAGAGGATGTGCTACCCGCAAGGCTGTTATTTATCACTTGAGAACGCCACAAAGAGCAAAGTCAGGACACTGTAGGAAAGATCATTGTAGAGCGGCCTTTGGTGGCTCCAGTTCCCACCCTTCCAGTCAGGAGGCCCATGGTGAAGGCTGAGAGTAAGGTCTGCTGGTGATGTGTTCCTCATCTGACGACAGTAGAGTTACTGGGGCAGGAGAGAAGGTCTCTATAACTGAGATGAATGACGACAAAGGTCAGAAATGGAAGGGACTGCTCCCACTGAGCCCACGAAGGCACTTCCCAAATGTCTCTTACTCTACTCCTGTACAATGGTCCCTGTTAACTTACCAGTCCATAGACAAAAACATTACTGATCATTTCTCCCTGTCCCCCAACACAGGAATACAGTGGAGAGGCCCCTTGCATGATAATGGTACAGAACCAAGCCTGTGTTTTCCTGGAAAAGATCCCATAGCCATTTGAAGAAGTGGCTTCTAAATCGGTGACCAGTTTGTGTGCAGATCAGGCAGACAAACCCAGTTGCCTGATTTGCAAGCCCAAACCCCATTTATGCATGAGAATGTAGGATTCTGCACATACAAAGTCACAAGCACAAATTGAGAGAGTAGCTAGGGGCCATTTGGAGCAGGTGGTCCTAAATACCACTCACTTTTACAATAGTTTTTATAAGCAGGGCCTGATTTTCACAAGTGTTGAGCATCTGCAACTCCTACTGACTTCACCCAGGAGTGTGGGTGCGCAGCACTTCTGAAAATCAGGCCCTAACATTCTTCTCTCTTCTATCCTATTGAGCCACACTGTCCATTTGTTTTGTTCATGGTCACTGACACTGGCATAGAGTCAATTTTAGATGCCAGTTTAACTACACAAGCACTTTGTTGGGCGATGACTGACTGGAAATCCCTCCAACACTCATATGATTTTGGGGAACTGCTTGCCACTCAATACTTATTGTATCTGATCGATGGTTTTCTTATGCCCACTGAGAGAATGCGAACTTGGCTTCTGCTCACAACTATTTTGTAAGAGGAATGGGTATCAGAGCAGTGGGACCAAGTTGAAGGATTTGGGCTCTATGGTACAGCCTATTCCTTTCGTTTATATTAGCAGTGAGGCAAAGGCAACAAACTATGCAAGGGATAATTGCATAATTTAATGTATTATAAACTGTTTCCCAGAAAATATCTGTAACGTATTAATTTGAAGGTAGAAAAAAATATAAGATTTTCTGATGCTTGGTTTGAGAACACCTGACATTGCTCAGATCATACACCGCAGTCATTCTTACCTATATCACAGTGTGCAATCATTTAGATCAGCTCATAGTGCTTTACATCTTACCCCAACATAGAATAAATACCCTATGGAAAACAAGAACTGCTCCTTCCCTACCCACTTCATTGTTGCTGATGAATCACTTAAAATAATTAAGTCACATGAATTTGGAAAATGTAACTGATCTGAAAGAATAAACAGGGAATGTTTGATTCTGCATGTCTGTTTGCTTGTCACTCATTTGCTCTGAAATGTCAGGGTGACAAAGTTTTCTAGGGAGCCAGCTGGACCCAATGAAACTTATTTACAAAGGTCGCTGGGTGAAATTCAGACCTGGGATGTCTAGCCATAGAACAGCAGTCCTGGGGAAGTGCTGAGAGTTCCTTCAGAGCAGAGACAAGGCAGACTGACACACTGATGTTCCAATGAGTTGCATCTTCAGTATTCCTTCCCATAGCCATATAGCTGAGGGGAACGATGAAAGATTACAAACAGATCGAAGTGGTAAATGTCAGTGGGAGAATGGAAATTAGTGCTAAAAATCAGACAGACTTCCTGCATGTTGGACTTCTGCTACCCCAGGTGAGTAGGGAACACACACACATCTGCAATACAATCATTTTAAACTGGTCTTTGCAGCAATCCCCCCTCCACTCTCAGTTGTTTCACTTGTGTGTTGAACATATAGGATCCACAGAGCGTATGCAATGAGCCTGTTTAGATGACAGCAGGCTGACACGTGCATGAGTATTTGCAGGCTGAATGCAAGAGGGAAAACTAAGGGCCCTCAGGTGCCAGCTGCCAAGCACTGAGTCTAGGGGACTGCAAACTTTCACTTTCCTGTGGGGCGTCACTGCAGGCTCCCTAGTAACATAGCTGGGGATTAATGCAGAGAAGCCAAGTGTGCCAAGTCTTGTCCCTTTCAGCACACAAAGACCATACAAATAGCTGCTTTTTATTTAATAAGAGGTTGATCAACTGTTGAGTTGATTAGAAGGTGCTTTTTCAAGCAAGCATTTCTGACCAGCTGTAGCTTTAACTGAGACCAATCAAGCTGTTAGTTCAAACAGCTCTGCTTGTGCAGCTCCGTCAACGTATTCAGCTCTCATAAGAAGTCAGAACACAGCATCAGCGCTGCTGGTGCTAAGTGTGGGGAACACAAACTCCAACTGAGCACTGTGGGCTTGTCCGACTCAGCTCCAACATACACGGCTACTTGGTGTATTTTCTATGACTTTGGCGTCTTGCTCTGAGTAGCTGTTGAGACACTGGGCCTGCTTGGCAACCTCTGCAGGGCAGCCTTGGCAGTCACAGGATGGACCACATTCCTCAGCGCAAACCTCTCTGGGGTTTTTGTGGATGAGCGGACAACTGGCTGGTGATGGTTGATCACTTTGGGGGGACTCCTATCCACAGTGGCTCTGAAGGGAAGAAAAAAATTGCTATTGTGAAATGGCATTGTTATGGGGAACTGAGTGAGCCCCCTGGATTCACCCAAGAACTGCACCAAGAACTTCCAGCACTGGGCACAACAGGAAGGTTGGCACAACAGGACTCTCTGAGGAGTCTACACTGCTACTTCAGCTAGTTTTGAGAACACTAGACTGCTCGCCAATTTCTGTAGATGTGCAGAGTCTCCATATGGATGAAGGACTGATAGAAAGGCTGATATTGGAGTTCTATCCTGAGAAGACAGATCAGGACACAATATGAAAATGTAATTTACTGGGTCTTTGTTTTTTTGGGTTATTTTTAACTCTTTCACTGTTGGCCCCCCTCATATCTGCTGTGTCATCATTGTCCACCAGCATTTCATAGGTAGGAATCCTCCCTTGCCGCACAGCAGATGTCTTTTACCTGGGTATAGCTGGAACACGGAGTAGCATGCAGGCAATTGAAGAGCTAGATTGTAGAGTGAAACTTTTGTCTGATTTAGAAAGTAGCTCACCCTCATCTGGAGTGACCCGAACAAATAGTACAAGGGACAGCTCCTGTGTTGATACTATACCATAACTATTATGTTACCTGGAAATCAAAATTTCCACATTCTGGGCAACTCCAAGTTTCAAATGAGCAATAAGATGCTGATATTACAATAAAAGGGTCCAATCACAACCAGGTTTGGTTTACATGACACCTATTTACTTTACGTCCACTTTTATTTTTAGAAATGCCTTTTCCCCTGAACTTTCTTTTAAAGCAAATTACTGTAAATTTCAAGGAAAAAATGTGTATCTGATGTGACTAATATCAGATTGAATGTTAGAAGTATCCAAGGTATGAGTAATGTAAGATCGTACTCGTTTAGTTTTGGAAGGACTAAAGGATGCATAGGTCACCAAGATACCAAGCAGAGCTTTCTACAGAGTACATGGTAGATACCATCTAGCTAAGAGTTTGTACTCTGTGGTGTAATATACATCAGAGTCAACAGGGCTGCACCTTTTCTCCCCCAGTGAAGTCTTTTCTATGCTTACCAGAATTCCATAGAAAAGTCGCCTAACTAGCGAGCATACCTGACACTTGTTGATCCAACAGCTGCTGGTCCTGAAATAGGCCTCCTGGTTTGCCGGCCAACACTCTCGCTGGTCCAATACCTCCCTTCAGCTCTCAGTGGCGATGCCTCACATACAGCAGGTGTGCTGTGCAGAGTCAGAATAGCAATCTCTTCACCCACAAGCTGGGCTGCGATTTCTGTGCTAACTCTTGATTGGGGATATTCCTTCAGTTGAGCTGCTTCTTTCTGGTTGGGCACTTTCAGACGTCTGACCCTGATGTCTCTCACTTTTGAGGGTCTAGCTGCAACACCCTGCATGGATGCAGGTGAGGGGCACTTTGGAGGAGAAGGTACCAGAGAACGATTCAGACTAGCGGGCAACACACTTTCTTGGGCATGTGATGAATCTGAAACAACAAGGAAGCACACTGATTTCCTGGTATGGCTAGTTCACCTAACTCTTAATGGGCCAATCCAATGATTACTGAAGTCACTGGAAAGCCTGCTTTTCACTTCAATTGGCAGTGGATCAAGTGATGAGTCCGCTCAACTCCTGTTACTTCCAATAAGATTGGAAGCCTCTGAGCACTTCAGAGGAGTGCATCCCAACTCACTGAGGTTTAAGGCACAAGAAAATTGAAGAGCAAGGGATACTGAGTTTTACTAAACTCAGAAGTGCAAACAAGGCTCTCAGGTTAGTATTAGAATAAGGGAAAGCGCCTCAATGTTAAAAATATTTTTGTATATTCTTTTTACTGTTTATAGTTCAGCTCATATGATCCCCAGCTGTAACACACGTGGAAGGAGAAAAATCCTGATGATGATCTATGACTAAGCCCCTTCGTTTTCAGTTTAAACCGATTTTTACCAAAAAATTCTCAGGGTTTACAAAAAGTATTATTTTGTTTTTTTCTGATTTCCACCCTACCTTTGTATCAGTCAAATATGTAAAAATAACTTATTTTATTAGGAAAATACAATACGTTGCGTGAGCTGTATGTATTACAATAATTCATTAGTCTGTGTGTATATGCAAAGCTGCCCGTTGAAGTAAGGCTATGTATTAGTCTAAAAGA